GCGATGGCCTCCAACCTACTAGCAATGGCCTCCAACCTAGTAGCGATGGCCTCCAACCTTCTAGCGATGGCCTCCAACCTACTAGCAATGGCCTCAAACCTAGTAGCACTAGAGCGATGGCCTCCAACCTACTAGCAATGGCCTCAAACCTAGTAGCACTAGCTATGGCCTCCAACCTAGGAGCGATGGCCTCCAACCTTCTACAATGGCCTCAAACCTAGTAGCCTCCAACCTACTAGCAATGGCCTCAAACCTAGTAGCGATGGCCTCCAACCTACTAGCGATGGCCGCCAACCTTCTAGCGATGACCTCCAACCTACTAGCAATGGCCTCAAACCTAGTAGCGATGGCCTCCAACCTACTAGCGATGGCCTCCAGCCTTCTAGCAATGGCCTCAAACCTAGTAGCGATGGCCTCCAACCTACTAGCGATGGCTGCCAACCTTCTAGCGATGGCCTCCAACCTACTAGCAATGGCCTCAAACCCAGTAGCGATGGCCTCCAACTTACTACCCTAAACCTCCTGGAACCATTATTTCAGGGGTCCCCTTATTTAAGGAGTCTGCACTTTAAAAAAGACACCTTAAAGAGACACCTTAAATTGAGGAGTCTAGACTCTTTAATGTTTTTGGGTCATCTCATGAAGAAATCCTGTAGAGGATTTGGTCAATTCATGAAGAAATCCTGTAGAGGATGTGCATCAAATCCTTTAGAGGATTGTCTGCTTTGGTGTGAATTGGTTGGCATCCTTTAGAGGATTACAAAGAAGTATGTGTGTGTGTGAGAGTTTCTCATGCTCAAGAGTGGAGTGGATAGTCCAAAATGGACAGGAGAAAGAATGATGCCTCAACAGAGGATTTGTGTAAAGTTTTGAGGTTTGCGCTTCCCAATGGTGTTAGTGCTGCCTTCAAAGCAATGTCGATGGAGGAAGTGGTGCAGGAACATGAAGAGCTGCTCAAAGGCTATAGATCCTTTGTAGGATTGTTGCAGGTCATCCTTCCCAGTCCTTTGTAGGAATCTGGTGTCTTTTTTTGTAGATTGCTGTCCTTTGTAGGAATCTGGTGTCTTCTTTTGTAGATTGCTGTCCTTTGTAGGCCAGCTCTGCGTGTTCTTTGGTAGGGTTGCATGTCACGTGTAGGTTTTGCAGGTCCTGTGCAGGACATGCCATGTGTAGATTGCCATCCTTTGCAGAGGCTGTGGAGAATTCCTGTGGAGGAAGTGGTCCTTTTGAGGATTGCTGGAACCCCAGTTGTCAAGCAGAGCCTTTTGCAGGACATGGTTTCTTGGCAGCTCTTCGGAGAGCTGTTTGTGCCTGCAGCTGCTTAAAGCTTCAAACTTTCCAAGCAATTCAAAATTGTATTTGGCTGTGCTGTCCTGAGATGGGCACTGCACCAAGTACGGTGGAGGAACCAGCTCCTATGGAGGAGCAGCCCTCCTTCTGGAGCTCAGAGCTTGCCCGCCAATATGTGCTTGCAATGACTGAAGCAACCCAATCAGGGCAGACAGACTGGTTGCGACAATGCGCATGCTGCGGCCAGGCCTCCTATTTTCGACAGACAGTGTGCATGAATCCACACTGTCAGTTGAGTTTCATGAGGATGCAGCCCATGGAATTGAGGATTGCGTTACAGTCACCACCAGGTACACCTGACCAGATGGAAGCCAAAAAGGTAGAGCGCATTGCCAAAGCCATTGCTGCATCTGTGCCTGACCCCCGTACCAGTTCCCAAGGCACCAGTTCCCAAGGTACCACTTCGCAAGATGACAATGCTGGCAAGTGGAACTGGCACAAAAAATCTGGGGGAGGCCAAAAGAGGAGGCAATGGATCAGTGCCGTGAAACAGGGAAAACATCCCAAAACAGGCCAACCGCTGCAGTGGAGGAAGCAGTGGTTCAAAGATGCTGCTGGATGCTGGAAGTGGGAGTGGGAACAGGTGGAGGAATCCAAAGCATCTGGTACGAAAGATTCCAAAGCGCCTCCTGCCAAAGCTCGTCCAGTACTCCCTCCAGCTGCAAAAGAAAAGGCAGCTGCAGACAAAGCAGACAAAGCTGCAGAAGAAAAGGCAGCTGCAGACAAAGCTGCAGAAGAAAAGGCAGCTGCAGACAAAGCTGCAAAAGAAAAGGCAGCTGCAGACCTGAAGGCCCTCCAAGAAGCAGCAGCTGGCCAGGCACCCTCAACCTGGCCACCAATGCCAAGCCTAATTGTGCCCTCCAGCTCATCCAGCAGCAGTGCTGGATATGGTGGCTCATCAGTCTCTTTGGATGACATTCCAAGGTTCATCACAGTGTTTCTGGCTGCAGCTCGAGATGCGCCACCTCGAAGTGGACCTACAATCATTGACTTGACCCCTACCTTGACCCCTTGGGGTCAAGACAAAGGCAATGCCTCCTATGCCTCCTTGGCACAGAACAAGGAGTCGAGCTAGGCCACTGCCTCCACCGCCAAGTGGCATCCCCAGAGGGCCACCGAATCCTGAACCTGAGCCTGAAAGCAATGAGACTGAAAGCAATGAGCCCTGAAAGCAATCCAGACTGCTGTCAAAAAGGATGCTGCCACAAAGTCAAAGAAAGATGTGTCAGAGTTTGGCCATGACATTTAAAAAACAATCCTTTGAAGGATTTGTCAGAGTTTGACTGCACACCAAAACAGTAGATTGATCCTTTGAAGGAATCGCACAAAGCAATAGCTCAATCCTTTGAGGGAGTCAGAACATGTCTCAGAGAAATACATGTAAGTGCCAATATATATTTTCCAGTCACGGTTGAGAAACCTGTTTGCAGTCAGTTTCAAAGCTGTTGATGTGATCTGTCTCTTCTGAGGTTAAGAACCTTCTTCAGAAGGTGATGTGGCTCAGAATTCAAACAGCTTTGCCATGAAACAGAAACAGTAGCTCAGTCCTTTGAAGGACTCAGAAGATTGATCCTTTGAAGGATTGACACTTTGAAAGATTCAAACAGTTTCCAATGATCATTCAAGCTGAAACAATAAACAATAGCAAAATCCTTTGAAGGACCCAGAAGCTTTCTCAGATGTTCTTGTTTGGGTCAGGGCCAAACCTGTTGAATCCTTTGTTCATCCAATCTTTGCTGAGGTCAGCCTCCCTCTGCAGAACCTTTGGTAGTGTGGTGGCTCAGCTCAGGAGTTGAGAGAGTTTGGCAGTAGACAAACAAACCTATGTGAGTTTATATGTATCTTTTTCAGAAAGCTACCCATGCAAAAAGCTTTAGAAAACTAGACGACGAGTGACCCGAAAGCATTTGTCATCACGTAGGATGTCAGAGTGTGAGTTATGTGTTAAGTGTGCAGTGTGAAGTGTTAAGTCGAGGGAGTTGAGGTAGTGTGTGGGTTTCTGTGTGTGTGTCTATGTCCGTGTGTATATGCGTCTCTGTCTGTGTGTGTGTCCGAGTAAGTTCAGGCAGCCAGTTCTCATCTTCCAGCTCCCCAACTACTCCGCGTACTACAGTTGTACGACACAGTCGCCAGTGTTCATCTTCCAGCTCCACAGATACTCCGCGTATTCAACTTGTACTACCCACTCACCAGTTCTCATCTTCCCACTCCCCAGCTACTCTG